TGGGGTTTTTTTGTTTTGCGGCGCTCGCAATTGCATACGGTCATATGAGCGCATGGAACACACCAAACATTTTCAATTGGTAGGAAATTTTGAATTTTGCCCGGGTGACGGCCGAAGCCTACTCTTATCGATTTTGGACCACCAAGGGATCTTCAATGTGCGCAACTTGTACACCGGACCTCCAAGATTTTTCGCCCTTGTCCGAAAAGGCTAGGTGTATATCTTTCCTACCAGAAGATCAGGGGTGTGGCTGAAAGACAGCAGTAAGAAGGAGCCAAGGAGTAGCAATAGAAAGGCTACAGAAAGAGTCAGAAGCCCAGTAGAGGGGGCAAAGGAGGTGGGGGCAGAAAGTGGAGACGAAAATAAACGACAAAATATTGAAAGAGAGAAGGAAAGAAGGTGAAACGAGACAATTTTAGAGAAGAAAATTTTTCGGTCCCTACCCGGATTCGGACCCGGGACCTTTGAAAGAGAGGCAAACACCTTAACCTCAAGGCCACGAGAGCTACCACAATAGAGTATGTGTTAGAAGATAGTAACATATACAAAAAAAAAGGAAGGGAGATAAGGACGACAGATGTTTGATAGGAAAGAAGGAACAAACCACACCAGAGCACCCGCAATCCACCCACTAATCAACTGCAAGCTGACTGTTAAAACACAAACACAGTATTAAACTTAAATAAATGCATCATAAAATTTACATACAACGTATATATCTCTTCAGAAAAGAAACTCAGTTCTGTGATTGCATTTATGAAGTTCATTTATTGTAGTAATAATTATAGGAAATGTTAGAACTGTTTATGCACCACACATTCACAAGCTTAAATAACTCGCACGCTTCACTTCAGTGCTTCCCACTCAAGACAACACTACTGCACCTAGCAAACCTCCAAGTAGGACCAAGATCTCAACAGACTCGGGTCAAACCAAGGAGTGAAAGAAAGATCATGACATGGCGTAGAAAAATTACAAAAGGGTAGGGAAAGCAGCTCCATATAGATAGATAGATAGATCATAGAACGACAGATAGATTGATAGGTAGATGGACAGACCTAACACATGATGCAAAACGTACGCACGGGCTCAATCACCATGTCAGGAACTCCATTGTCTAGGACACTGATAAAAATAAATTCTCGTCAACATGAAATAACTGATTGAGCAAAAAAGACTAAGGTGAGATAGAGATGTGAAGTGCATACAACTAGATAAGCCCCAGTCCATCATGACTCATGGATTGTCAATGTTTGGGTTTTTTTATTTGATTTATTTGTTTTTTTACAAGGTTTTTGCAATCTTTTATTGATTTTTTTTTTTAGTTTGTTGCCGTTGTTAGTGGATTGGTACCGCTCACTTGCATTGTACACAGAGTTGGCACAACAAAGAAACCGTACACATATTGATGTGAAATTATAGCATACAACAGTGCAATTAATTCTATGTCGTCTAACAAACCAATGACTTTCAAAAATCAATGCAAAATTGCAATTGCGAAGCATTAGCTGTCAACTGTGCTTTGTTATTTCAGAGCAAAAAAATCATCACTGAACAAAATGAAGAGGGGAGAGGGGGCTTGGGGGAGTGGGAGAGTTTGTACAATGATTCCAGTGAGAATCTGGACAGATCTGTACACGGTTGTATGTACACATCACAGAAGTCACAGAACAGTGAAAGCCACGGTGATCATCATAATTATCATACACTGCACTGACAGACACACACACTCACACACATACATACACACACACTCTTACAGTACACAAACTTTGCAAACAGCACAAACAACTTCACCACCACAAGCCACCATCAGTTCACGACACTCCCGCCACAGACCCTGCATGCTGCAGAGGTTCAGCGGCGTAGGATAGTGGCATTTGATCACCACTCTATACTATAGCCCATGACCTGGGGATGCATCTTTGTCATCATCATAACCTAAGTCCCTTACACAGGAAACATCACACTGCCTTCCCTCGCCACACACATATGCTGGTGGCATTTTCTCCCTCAAGAAACAGGGGAGAGCCCTCTTACTCTCTCGAGGTCCAGGGTTGGGGAGAGGGGGGGGGTATAGTAGTAGCACCTAAATCAGGTTCTATTTACAATAAGTCATATAGTTATACTGTGATTTTTTTTTTTCTTTAACGAGCAAAGAGTAATTATTGTTGCAGACAACCAGAAGAAAACAGCAAATGATACACTGTTGAATTTCATTGTATGAAAGTATTGAAAGTGTTCAAAGGTAATAATAATAATGGTTATTGACTGGTATTATCTCTATGAGCAAATCATAAAAACTTGACATCTCAAAATAAGATAACAGAAATCAGTAGCAATCTATCCTTTGCCCTCAACATGACCAAGGAATACAGAGAGAAATACATCAAAGGCAAAAACAACAGCGCAGCGCCATGAGTGAGTGAATGACAGAACTGCAGTAATGAGTAACACGGACGTGCTTCTTCTTCTTCTTCTTCTTCTTCTTCTGGGTCCGATAAAGCTTGTTGTTATTATCTTTAAAATAAGACACTTTTTCTCACAACTGGCCACACACATAAGTGCCCGTCCACTGTCAGTGGCGACAGAGATAAAAATGATTCCAGAAAAAAACGATCTGGTGAGAAGTAAAGAGATATTAACTCACAGGTGCAGACCTCAGACCTACAGTGTCATCATATAGGAGAGCAGATATCACAGCCACTTGTCCAGAACTGTCTCAAAAGAAACAATCGAACAAGCAAACACACATACACACATGCCTACACACACACACACAACAGCAATACCCACACACTATAGCCGCAGAAAAAGTCATCATCATGCGAACACAGAAACACATCACGCACATCAAACACCCAAGCAAGTCGTTCGTACGCGAGTCACCATCCGCACACATTTCCACACAGTTCACATCATCCAACACACTAGTGGGGCAGCAATATGTGCCAGTTAAGGCCTTCATAACACAGATACCTGTACAGATGCCATAAAAAAGGCCATCTGGCAAGATATTTAAAAGGGAATAAATTTTGCTTCCAGATATCTTTAAAAAAGAAACAGTATCTCAAAGTGTTTTTAGAAATGAGTTGGGTGTTTAGCAGGTGAAATGAAAAATGGTTCATGTCTCACCTCTTACAGCAGACAGTAGACAGAGGAGAGACGGAAAAATAAATGCTTGTAAGTTTGATGTTACCCGGAAAACCCAAAGTATATTTTTTTTACTTTTTGTAAGATACACAGCTATATATGACATGCATACATGATATAATTTGTTTCATTACTATAAGTGTTCTTTTTTGTTATACAGAGTCAAGCAGAGAAAAGACGGGACAGATTTGCGAGAAGACCAGCTGTCGTCCGTCCTCCTGTCACACTTGGAAATTCTCTTGCACAACTTGCCAGACATTCTCTTCCTCCGTCACCAGCTCATCCTCGTCCCCTCCCCCTCCTCCTCCTCCGGCTTCTCCAACACCAAAATCCTCGAGAACTTTCTGCACCGCCCCCAGTTTTGCAAACATGACAGACTCGGCCTTGCGCCACAGAGTGTCAAGGTCATCACCATCATCCTCTTCGAAACTGCAGAGCGCATCATCACCAGCCCCTGTCTCCTGAAGACCTGGGCCGATGATCATGTCCTCAGACTCTCCGTTCGAAATGGGAGGAGGAGTAGGGCTCTCCTGAGAGTTCTTGTTGTTGTTGCTGTTGCAGGACTCTGTGGTACGCCCACCACTCGACGACGACGACGACAATGAGTCACAGTTCGAGCTCGTCCTGCTGGCTGCACTAACGTCACTCGCGTTGCTCTTTCGAGTCCTCGCCTGTTTCCTGTTGTGTAAAACTATCACTTCCGAACGTCCTAGGCTGAAACTGTTGCCCCTACCCAGAAGGATAACGCCAGGCCGTTGTTGATGTTGTGGCTGTTGTTGCCCCCGGCTCTTTTTGTCGGTCACCGATATTTTCCTGGAGCCAGAGACGACCACCCTCAGGGGGCCCGGAGACTCCTCCTCATGGTCTTCGAGAGTCGGGCTCGAAGAACTCCCCAGCACAATGTCCACATTTGGCACATCTGTCGGCGAGATCATTGAATCTTCTGTGACTGTCGATTCAGTCAGTGAGATCTTAGCATCTTCTACACCTATTGATTCGTCCGATGCCGCCTCATCCGAATGTGGTGGCATCTGGTTGCTAATATGTATTTCACCTGATGCCTCCTCGTCTTTTTTCACAGAACCCATCATCTTGGCAGTGAAGGATAATCAACAGTCTCAAAAACACACTGAGAACAAGCACTGTGAAGCAAAGGCTTTTCACTTTTTACAAGAGCTTTATCCTACTACAGTACTGCACTTCATCTAACTTCATGTTAAAAATGTTTTAAGCTAGCTTGATTTTAATTAGGTAGGTAAGCAAAATAGAGCTGCTGACCACAGGAGATCACACTCACTCCGTGCACAGATCAGTCTTTTTCTCCTTACAATGGAATTCACAAGGAAACCTAGAAGAATAAGTTTAGAAGAAAAAAAACCTCAGCCACTATATCTCTTTCAGTAAGAAACACAAATGACTTCTCAAAACCTAAGAATCATTGTTCACAAAGAGACCTTCAGAAAGGTTACGACTAACATCCTCAACACACTACTACACAGGCTACACACCAGCTAAACCAACTGCACACACTGCAGCACAACCACTCCAGAATCTTTACAGCGTAAATTTCCTAGTACGCGCGGACAGAACGTATGTGCGTCTGTGGTGAGGGGTGGTGCAGTACGTGGTTACTACTTCCACAACGAGCCACCATCACCGACGACACCACCACTACTGGCAGTAATCTCAACAAACAGCTGTCGTCCGGTCGTATGCGTGTGTTTGACCACGGTGTGTCTGACAACCAGCTCTCCGGCCGGCTACAAAAGAAGGGTGGTGGAGTAGGAGGAGGAGGAGGAGGGAGCTGCGACGATGATGCCTCACACAGAAAGCGATGTCTGGGACATGAAAGACGTCCTCACATGGATGAGTTTGGGATGAGGAAGTGGAGCTCGGAGAGAGGACAGGGAGCCCAGCGCGCGCGGAGCCCTCCGGACACCTGGACACTCTACATACACGGCCAATCTACAGCAAGGCCCCCGGAGGTCATGACAGAGATTCTGGGGACATGGAACAAACACATCAGATATAAGTTTATTTCTCAAAAAAGGAAAACAAAAATTTGTCAAAAATAAATAGAACTACCTGGCATCAGAAAAGTTTTATTGCAAAAAACACACAAACGAAAGAAAACCCCTGACCAAACATAAGTTAATTTTTAACCCCCCGCCCATCCCAACAAAACGAAAAAACAAACCAAAGAAAAACCCACAAAAAACAAACAAACAAAAAAACCACCAAAAAAAAAATCGGACCGGACAGAAGTTCATTCCCCAATGGCATCAGATAAATTGAAACTAAAGTTCATCTAAAAAAACAAAAACAGCATCTAACATATGCTTATCCAACCCCCCTCTTCTTCACAATAGAAGCCACTAGAGATACAAGTTAGACAGGGAATGGGGACAGGGCTGGGGCTTGTTGAGTCTGTGTAGTGGGGGTGGGGGTTGAGTGTACATAGTGCCTAATGACGGTGGGTTTTTTGAGTAAATATAATGGGGGTGGGTGGGCGTTCAAGAGTACTATGAAGTGGAGGTGGGGGTTGAGTGTATGTAGTGATGGTGGGTTTTTAGTTTAGTTTTAGTAAGAGTATTACGGCACTTGCAACACAATAAGGTCATATAAGTGCCGAAGATTAGAGGTGTTACAAGAGAGTAACATACACAAAAAAGAAGGAGGAGAGGTAAGGACGATAGATGTTTGATAGGAAAGAAGGAACAAACCACACCAGAGCTCCCGCCAACCAGAACACTGACGAAGGTGGGTTTGAGTGAATGTAATGGTGGTAGTGTTGGTTCGGGGGAGAGGGGGGGGGAGTTTTAAGAGTACAAAGTTATGATGGAGGAAGTGGGTTCGAGTGTGCACGTGCACCCACCTGTGACATCTGCTCTGCGGTTCTCGTCAAAGGCGATGATGGGCGGGCCCGGCACCAGCACGTTGCTCTTATTGGCGGCCGTGGTGTTGTCCAGCAGGTCGATCAGCTCCTCAAACTGACCGCTCCCGCTGACCTCCTCCGTCCGAGACACCGTCGACTCCTCCGCGTCAAAGGTCACAACAGAGGCAGAGTTGGACACGCCCTCCGGTGAGTGAAGGCTGATGCTGGAACAGGGAGGAAACAAGGTTTGGAGAAATTGAGAAAACAATGTTGGATGAGATTGAGAAAACAATGTTGGACAAAATTGAGAAAATACTTGACAAGATCGGGAAAACAAGGTTGGATGAGATTGAGAAAAACAATGAGTCCGTTGAGAGAGAAATACTGAGCTGGAAAAAGGCAAGATACAAACAGAAACAAAACGGAATTTAAAACAGGACCTATCAGTGGCACGTTCCAACCATCTGCAAATGCCTTCGGTGAGAAGCCAACAGCACATCACAGCAATGATAATGCCGATGATAATAATAATAATAATAATAATAATAATAATAATAATAATAATAATAATAATAATGTTTAAAAAATTTATTTAAAAAAAATAATAACTAAAATATTTTTTTTTAAATTAAAAAAAAAAAAAATTTTTTAATAAAAAAATAATAATAATAGATGTCCCAAGTTAGTAGAGAAGAAATACCAGAAAACGAATCACCAAACCACTCATGAAGGAGATTCTTTCCACACTGCACTAATATATCTCAGCTGGCAGGTATACGAGGGCTCTTGATGTGCTGAGCTTAACTTTAGTCAGGCAGGCACAGAGTGTGACAAAGGACCACAGGAAACAGTGGAGGAGACAAGGCGGGGGGGAGACATTCATCAGGGGGAATCTGTCACTTGTGACAACCTGAGACTGTCTGTCACCCCCTCCACTGTCATCATATGCTACACTGACGGAGGGAGGAGGTGCAGACTGTGGTGGCTAGAGGAGGACTGCTTGAAGGGGGTGGTGGATTGTGTGTGTGTGTGTGTGTGTGTGTGTGTGTGTGTGTGTGTGTGTGTGTGTGTGAGTGTGTGAGTGTGTGTGTTTGTGTGTGTGTGTGTGAGTGTGTGTGTAAGTGTGTGTGGGTGTGAATGTGTGTGTGCCTGTCTGTCTATGTTTTATTGTGTGTGTGGGGGGGGGGGCGTGCCAGAAAAAAATAAAGACGAACTCAAAGAGCATGGGGAGAGGGGGCGGGAGAAACAGAGAATAAACCTGAAAAGCAGGGAGAGAGGAGTGGGAGAGGGGTGCAGGTAGAAAAGAAAGAAAGACAGAAAGAAAGAGAGACAAAAAGAAAGAAAGAAAAGAAAGAAAAAAAAACGAGAGAAAAAAAACGCCGTGTGACCACAAGAAGTCGCACAGCTGTATATGCCATGCCCAAATCCCGACACGAGCCCATCCCGTACAGAGAGAAAAGTCACTGGCGTGGCGCACTCGGCACTCCGCCACACGAACAACACGGTCTCTGTCTTCTGTCTCTGTCCCCACAGGTAACTATGGCAAACAACACCAAAGGACACTGTCGCTATGCCTTTAAGTTCTCTGTAATTGTGGTATTTGAGAGAGAGAGAGAGAGAGAGAGAGAGAGAGAGAGCGAGCGAGAGAGAGAGAGAGAGAGGGGGGGGAG